GTTTTCTCAGTCCTGTGTCCTCTAGGGAATTCTGCCAATATATATATATATATTTTTTTTCCATATCTGCTACTCTGAGTTCCTCCATCTTTCCTAGAGTGGAAAATATCCTGATTCCTTAGTGCCTTTCTGAATTTTCAACATCCTTTCACAGAAGCAACCTCAGAAATTATATCAGCACGAAATTTTGTTTTGAGTCAAGGTGTTTCATTAGCTGTGAAATAGCAGAAGTGTTGCTATTTCTATTTTGGACTCATAGAAGAAAATGCAAATGGATCAAAATCTATTATGCTTAGGTTTGAATGACTCGCTTTTTCTCATTTTGCTAGAAGATTTCTCAGATTCTATTAAGGCCCTGTTGGTCTGTATCTTTCTTAATAGGATATTGAGGTGGCGTAATGCATCCCTTATCTCTGACTTGCATGTGTGACATGACTTGTATATTAAAGCCCAGTACAATTTAGTCTTCCATTTTTTTTTTTAACCATAATATTCATTGGTTAAATAAATCCTACTCAAACACACATTGGATAATTTTATCACACTACTGTCTCCCTTAGTATAGTATGTTTTTCACATGGATGAGATAGTCCTTTGCTCCTTCATTTTTGTTTTATTAACTCTGCTTGTCCTTTAAGTTTTTTTCTGCCATGTAAATTTAGGGCTGTGTTTCAGAGTTTTTTTTTCTTTTTCTTTCTTTCCTTTTTTTTTTTTTTTTTTTGAGATGAAGTCTCACTCTGTTGCCCAGGCTGTAGTGCAGTGGCGTCACTGGCTCACTGCAACCTCTACTTCCCGGGTTCAAGCAGTTCTCCTGCCTCAGGCTCCCAAGTAGCTGGGATTATAGGTGCCTGCCACCACACCTGGCTAATTTTTGTATTTTTAGTAGAGGCAGGGTTTCACCATGTTGGCCAGGCTGGTCTCGACTTCTGACCTCAGGTGATCCACCTAACTTGGACTCCCAAAGTGCTGGGATTACAGGCATGAGCCACCTCACCCAGCCTCAAAGCTTTTTTTTTTTTCTCACAGTAAAATTATGCGATATGTTAATTTTGTTCTTTGTTTTGAAACTTCCTTGTTGGGGGTCTTTAGATATAGTATATTTTGTGGCTGCTGTAGGCTACTAGATTTATTGCTATAAAGATAAATTCCAGCAACTTTGAACAGGTTTTTTAACGAGTGTATTTTTTTCTTTATCAAAAAGCCTTTACAGAGTTGTTTATGGCATTGAACTAATAGCACGTAGAAATCCAGTTTGGAAAAGAAGATCCTTCATCCTTTTCAATCTGCTACTGAAAGGATGGAGTATTATATTAAACAAAGTGTGCCTCACAGTTTTTCTTACTGCACTGACAGAGCCTTATTTCAGAATGCTTTGTCTTTGAGCTCTCCACTCCCCTGACTTTGATGGTGTGAGGTTTTCTGGATTGATAGTAGAGATATTTACGTTAATGTCTAGTTGAAGCCAGTTTGGTTTTCATTCTGAATTGCTTGAAATAAGCTCTTTCTAACAAAACTGTTTAGTAGTTTGGCAGGTTTTATATATATATATATATATATATATATATATATATATATATATATTTCTTTTAAATATTAATTATAACCCATCATGTCTTAAGTAATTACTTGTGGGTTAGACTCTTGATGAATGTCATAGCAGGGTGTTTTAATTTAACAGATCCAGAATAACATCTGGTTCTAATATTTTAAATCCAATTTATATGGAAATTTAATACACAGTATACATGGAGATTTGCAAAAATCAAAATCAAAATGGAAAATCAATCCACTGGGCTATAGTAGGTCTTCTGTTAATAAAGGATTTTGCTTATGACCAGATTCAACTCCTGCTAGTTAACACTCAAAATATCAGTTTAGGAAAGGTAGCAATTTATTTCTCATACTGAAGCAATAGGAAGTAGTTAGCCCAGGGTCAGTATAGTCTCTTGTAACAGGGACTAAATTTCCCTCAATCTTATTGCTCTGCTCTCTGCATGATTTCTATTCCTAAGAACACCTTGTGGGCCAAGATGGCTGCTGCAACTCCAACCATTACATCTGTGCTCCACTCAGCAGGAAGGAGGAGGGTAGAGGTAGAGGGGAAGAAGGCTAAGCTTTCCTCGTAAAGACACTTTCTGGAAGTAGTAGATAAAAATTCATCATATGATCATATTTAACATCAAGGGAACATAGGGAAATACATTTTTTTTTCTAGATGACCACACACCCAACTAAAAATTGAAGTTCATTTGTATGGAAAAGGGAGAGAATAGATATTGGGGAACAATGAACCATACTGGCCACATGGAGTAATTGAAGGTTTTCACAGATCTTTTGCCTTTTTATTGAACATTTAGAAAAGTCAACTAGTTCTTATTAGTAGATAATATATGTATTACTATATGGATTACCATGGTATTTGACACATAGTATATAATCATCAACTTCTGATCGGCCTATTTTAACCCCAAAATGCACCTAATTTGATAGGTTATGGGTCAGGAAGACTTTAATAAGGGACTTTTCATAGATCACATCCTCGGCTTTATAGAGTAATAAAAGCCAGCAGAGCAGAGACATCGTTTGCACTAGGGTGTGCAGAACACTCATGTGTGTAAAACACTGCTTTCTTCTTCTCTATATAGAAGACAAATGAACAATTATACATGTTTATTAAATGATTTCAAGGTAAAACTATTATCACAGAAACTGAAGCTCAGAGAGGTTAATGGGAAGCAATTTAGAGAAGGAACTGAAAACTATGATGCCTAGTCATTTGGACCCAACTACTCAGCTATTTCCGCTGGTGAGATCACCTTAAATGGGTTTGTTTCTTAATCTGTTGAATCTCTGTGATAATTTCTTGTTTTTGCAATGAGGCAGTGAATGAAAGCATTAGCACTCAGGAACATTTCTTCTGAATCCAGGGCTTTCTCAGCCTGCATTTCGGTAATATCCATGTGGAAATTCCTCTGATCACACCTGCCTCGCAACAGAAGGCAGAACTGGTGGAGGGTCTAGGGTTGAACATCGTGAAGACAGTCTCCTACCACGTATTATTCTTGATCCATACAGGTGCCCACAGCTCCTTAAAAAGCTCTGATACCAGACCAGGCAGAAATTTTCTAGTTCTGGAGGTTTTCATTCCTGTGCCCTACTAATGCATATGTCTGTTGTATGTTCTGTAAATACAGAAATAGGTGCAATAAGGATACAAAAAGACTCCAAATGCCACTCTGTTCTCTGGGAGGATAGTGACACAGAGCCAGGATGTTCCAAACTGAATAGTTTAATGCCACCTTCAGTGTTTGTACCGTATCTACATACATCAGTACTTTTGGTTACTTAATTCTTTTCTTTTACTTAAGCCTTTTCTTTTTCTTTAACTTTCAATAAAGCTATTGAAAATTAAATGATATTGCTGGTCCTTGGACCGGATGTTGATTTAAGCGATGACCAGGTGTTGATCCAAGGACCAGCTACATCATTTAGTTTTCAATAGCTTTATTCTGAGTAGATAGCTAGGATAACCATTAACATAAATATAACCTTTACAGTTTTTACAAAGTGCATACATCTTTTTAAATGACCCCAGTAGTAGATGGATCACATTTTGGGAAACCCAGAATAGTGGAAAGGGAATTAATTACGAAGCTCTATGTTACTGTTCTCAACTTGTGTGACTCTGAGCCAGTTATTAATTAATCTTTCTGAACTATAAACTTCCTCACTTGAGAGATGTAGAGAATAATATCTACCTCCTCAGCATTGTTCTGAAGATTAAATCAGAAGATGTAGCCAAGGAGATCAGCATGGTGTTTGGCAGTATATCTGTTGCTTAGCAATTAGTAGATCCTTCCTTCTTGGAGACTGTTTGGAAATTTCAGGCATGCAAATAGAAACTATCCTCAAAAGTAGGAAACAGTGAAGTGCCATGAAGATTTCTATAGTGAAGAGTAAGTCCCGTGAAAGCTAAGAAGTGGGAAAGGCTGAAATTTACTAGCAGGTAGTCGGAAGGGAAACACTGGCTAGGTGGAGAGCCATTCTTCCTCGTCTTTCCAGCTATCTAGGCCCTTAATACTCAACATGTGAGGCTGGGGCCACGGTTGCTCACACCTGTAAATCCTAGCACTTTGGGAGGCCAAGGCGGGAGGATTACCTGAGGTCAGTAGTTCAAGACCAGCCTGGCCAACATGGTAAAACCCTGTCTCTACTAAAACTACAAAATTAACTGGTCATGGTGGTGCATGCCTGTAATCCCAGCTACTCAGGAGGCTGAGGCAGGAGAACGGCTGGAACCCAGGAGGCAGAGATTGCAGTGAGCCGAGATCACATTGCACTCCAGCCTGGGCAACAAGCCTGAAACTCCGTTTAAAAAAAAACAAAACAAAACTCAACATGCGGTCCAAGGACCAGCAACATCAACCTCACCTGAGAGCTTAATGGAACGTGGAATCTCTCTGGCTTCTTCCCAGGCCTCCTGAATCAGAACCTGCCTTTTAACAGGGTACTCGGGTGATCTGTATGTTTGAGAAGCACTGGGCACTGATACTCCTTGTAAAGTTTATTTCTAGTTGGAGGCTAGTCCTTGTATCATATCGGCCTTGCTTCTTAAAGATGCAGATTCTGAGGACCAGCCACAACCTGGGATCTGGTCTATGCATTTTTAGCCGGTATGTCACATGATTTTCAGGGTGGTTGTTTGGCAGACTGCTACACTAAGGCTTAAAACAGATGAAGAACTTTATTCTTCAAAGATATTTGCATTCCAACAAGGAAGAAAGCTTTTAAAGAAGAGGAAAAACAGCCCTCATTGTGGTTTTAGTAAGCATTAAGGGGAGGGCATGAATTCAGCTTATGTGTGCCTGGAATCCCATCATAAAGCCACATAGTAACAAGTCTTTCGAGGAAGGCAATATCTTAGCAATGTCATAGTTTTTCTTTTTTTTCCCTTTTTGTATTTTATGTTTGATATTTTTTTTTAACATTTTGTTTTTTAGCCGTGCTATCAAGACTAATCAGGACCTTCTCCCAGAAACTCCATGGACGCACATTTTCTACAATGATTTTTGGGGGACTCTTCTAACCCACAGTGGCAGCCACAAGTCCTACCGGCCACTCTGCACTCTTTCTTTTCGCCTGAACCATGCCATTGGAGGGTTGAATCCCTGGAGCTACCATCTTGTCAATGTCCTGTTGCATGCAGCCGTCACTGGTCTCTTCACAAGCTTCTCCAAGATCCTCCTTGGTGATGGATACTGGACATTCATGGCTGGCTTGATGTTTGCTTCTCACCCCATTCACACCGAGGCAGTGGCAGGAATCGTGGGACGAGCCGACGTCGGGGCTAGTCTTTTCTTCCTCCTCTCCTTGCTCTGCTACATTAAACACTGTTCTACAAGAGGCTACTCAGCCAGAACCTGGGGCTGGTTCCTGGGGACAGGACTGTGCGCAGGATGCAGCATGTTGTGGAAGGAACAAGGAGTGACTGTTCTCGCAGTTTCAGCAGTTTATGATGTCTTTGTCTTTCACAGGCTGAAAATAAGACAGATATTACCTACCATTTACAAAGTAAGTGATTGTTGCCTCTTGAGCATTGGATTACTGAGTAATCTACTTGCTTGCTCCTTTGCCACCATTTAAAAAGCAAATTTGTTCCTCTTCAAGCAGAATTTAGAATCAGTTCCCTTTTGATCTTCGGTAAGTGGAAGTGTCTTTCTGACCTTTCTTTACTAAGCAGGGTTGCAGTCACTGACTGTTTTATTTCTCAGGTTTCTTACTTTCACGAATTCAGGGGTGGTAGAGGAATAATTTTGCCTTGTAAAGAATATGCACCTTTATTATTTATTGAGTTCTTATTTCTATATTGCTGCCCAAATTGTCTGTAATCCGATAAATTGCCTATAATGTGTATTTGTAAAAAGTAGCAACTGATAATAGAGCTAGATGCTAGACTCTACAGGGAAAATCCTCTGCCATTTGTTAATATTACTTTTCCTGAGTTGACTTTGGAAAACAATCCTTCCCTTTAGTGCACTGGGAAGTCAAATTCTTAAACAATGAATCATACTCACCTTTTCTAGTGGTGATGCCTAAGAAGAGTCAAAACAGAAAGTGGTTATTATTAAGCTTCTCCCTGAGGCCAATTAAGACCTTTGCCTCAGGGCATAATATTTGCTCTTCTCTACTCCCTTAGTGGTATCCAGTGCAAAGGTGCCTGAAGGTCACAGAAGCATTTCAGGAGCCTTATGCACTTGAAAAGACTGAGCAGTTTTCTGCTAGAGCATTCAGGAGAGGCAGGGAGGGGACCGGGCATCTTGAGAAACTGTCTGCTTTCCCAGCTGCCCATCCTCCTTCACTCAGAATAAACTCACCCTTGCTTTGACTTTTGCATGAAGACTGAACTGGCCAGGGTTTGCAAACCTTGGTCATGTTTTAGGCGGTCTCCTCACCTGTCTTTTGGACGCAAGTGAAGAATTAAGGTTTTGGATACTTGGCTGTGAAGGGACTGTCAGGTTTTCCTAGTTGTGACTAGTTTTTTACCATCAATTTCTAATTTTATTTAAAATTGAATTGAGAAGAAATGAAAAAACAAATTGAGGCAAATGGAATCCAAAACATTTATTTTTTAAAATGCCCCCTTTTTTTTTCCCACTTAAGAGGCAGAGTGATCTCTGCTGTGATTTTGCTCTACAGGAAGCCTAACCTTTCCACTTAGAGCTCAAGTATTCAGGGCTTAATGAAGTTCTTTGGTGATTTCAATTAAATGCTGAAACTTTAAAAGGAACTCTGGTTACAATTTGTGATTGAAAACAACATATGGTTCAAAAGTCAGGCTCTTAATTCCAAATCAATTTTAATTCTTTCTTTCTTTTTTTTTTTGAAACAAGAGTCTCACTCTGTTGCCCAGGTTGAAGTGCAGTGGTGAGATCTTGGCTCACTGCAACCTCTGCCTCCCCAGTTCAAGCAGTTCTCCCGCCTCAGCCTCCTGAGTAGCTAAGACTACAGGCGGGTGCCACCACACCAGTCTAATTTTTTATATATTTAGTAGAGATGGGTTTCACCTTGTTAGCCAGATGGTCTAGATCTCCTGACCTCATGATCTGCCCGCCTTGGCCTCCCAAAGTGCTGGGATTTACAGGCATCAGCCACAGCGCCCAGACAATTTTATTTCTTTCAAAGAGATTTAAAGAGAGAAATTGTTTTCATCTAACACAATGTCATTGACAATAGCAAACTATGTTTTACTAGAAATACAACTAGGATAAGTATAATTCACGCTCCTCATCCTTCGGGAGGTTGTGACGTATTTGAGGGTGCAGGCTCAGTGCTGGCTGCTTGAGAACCTTGCGTTAGTCGTCTGTGAAATGTTGTGATTTCTTACACAGAATTGCCATCGTACCATCTCATAAGTTAGGGAATTATTTGGCTATGATGCTTCAGGATTTACTTGCAGGACCTTATGAAGCTCTCTGAGAAATTTTCAGTCCTCTAAGCATATTTTCGAGGGCAGAGTTACGCACTCCAGTACACCCCGCTAGAAATACATTCTATACAATATGTGAGACATACTTGTAATAGAAAATTATTCTTTGTTTCTCTGAAATTGAAATTCACCTGGGCATCCTGTATTTTATTTGGCAACTTTATTTATGTAACTGCTCCTTAAAAAATAAGAAATGCCACTAGCAAGGACATCCTAAGACTTAAGACTGTGAAGTTCTCCATGTTATGAGAAGGGACTCAATGCTGTTGAAGGTTCAGAGTCCTGAGAAGTTTCCAGATGGCTCTTTGCCCAGACTCTCTTGGCAACCACCACTTGCAGGGCTAGGCAATGGCAGCGCCAAGGATAGTGGTCGGGGCAGCAAGACTTTGTCTGATGTTTGCTATTCTTTCGTAGCTCTTTCTGTTTTTATTAGGTTTGGGGCCAATGAGCTTAATAAGAACATTGGGATAATGCGCATTTTATAGATTTTTTTTTTTTTCTTTTTTTTTCTTGAGACGGAGTCTTGTTCTGTCACCAGGCTAGAGTGCAGTGGCATGATCTCCACTCACTGCAACATTCGTCTCCACGGTTTAAGGGATTCTTCTGCCTCAGTTTTCCAAGTAGCTGGGACTACATGCACATGCCACCACACCCAGCTAATTTGTGTGTTTTTAGTAGAGATGGGGTTTCACCAGTTTGGCCAGGATGGTCTGGATCTCTTGACCTTGTGATCTGCCTGCCTCGCCCTCCCCAAGTGCTGGGATTACAGTTGTGAAGCACCACACTGGCACATCTTACAGATTTTTAAGGACCTGTAGAGATCATCTTTCCTACTCTCTTCATTTCCACCTGGAGTGTAGAGAGCCAAAGACGTGTAGGTAACCCAGAAAATGGTGGAATCACTAGGACCGAGGCACACATCTCTGACTGTCTGTTGGTATCTTTACTACGCTCTGATAGTGTGAAAAACAAACAGATGTAAATTCAGTTGACTGCACAGTAGAAAGGAAACTAATATGGAATAGAATCTTAGCTCACGAGGGCTGAGTAACCTTGGGCTGATTCCATGATCTGTTTCTTCATCTGGAAATGAAGGCAGCTATAGTTCTCTCCCAGAGTTGGGAGGATTGTTTGAAATTGTGGGGTGTTCAGTGTGAGCTGGAGTGCCTAGTATTTGGATGACACCTAATACATATTAGTTGAAGTGGAAGAATAAATATCGATGTAACTTTTGATTCTTTATCTTTTGGCCTCTGTCGCCTTAAGATAAACTTCTAGTAGTCTTTACACATACAGTTGGTTGGCAGCATGTGAAATAAGGACTGCTTAGTAATCGACCAAAGCTGAAGTAAGCAGATTTAAGCACAAACTTTCGTTTAAAATCTTATGCTTGTGTGGCTTGTAAACATTGATGTAGAATACATATGAAAGTTATAGAAAATTTCATATTCTGTCTTTAAAATATATAGATTTCTATGCCTGGGGTGAGTCAGAGGAGATTCTTTCTGAAGGAAATAGTCTGAAAGACTTTAGAAGATCCTTTCAACCTTGAAAAATAATCATCTTAAATATCTTACCATTTAACTCTGCATCCTAGTTATTGTGATTTGTCAGATGTGATAAACTTCCTTGCCCTGTTAAAACATAATTTATGGCCAGGCACTGTGGCTAATGCCTGTAATCTCAGAGCACTTTGGGAGGCTGAGGTGGGAGGATCACGGATCAGGAGTCAAGACCAGCCTGACCAGCATGATGAAATCCCGTTTCTACTAAAAATACAAAAATTAGCCTGGTTCAGTGGTACGTGCCTGTAGTCTCAGCTACTCAGGAGGCTGAGGCAGGAGAATTGCTTGAACCAAGGAGGCAGAGGTTGCAGTGAGCCGAGATCGCACCACTGCACTCCAGCCTGGGTGACAGAAGGAGACTCTGTCTCAAATAAATAAATAAACAACTCACTCACTAGCTCATATATAAATGGAAAACTCCAGTATATAAATGTTTAACTGTTACTCAAATTAGAAAACCAGGTAAGTAATAAAAACCTAAAAATGGTGGCCCTCTTAAAGCTGGAAATTATTAGGGCCAGAGGGGCAAGGCTCTTGGCTGAATTTGGCTAGTTTACCTTTGTCTTGGGTATTGCTTAAATTTGATTCTACATCCAGATGTAGTGATCAGACCAAAACTAACAACCAACCCCATACTTCCAAACCATTTACAGAATTTGTCTTAAGAATGATTTCTGAGGATGGGAGCTTATATTGTGAAAGAATTTTGATTCATCACCAAAAATGTTACAAGACTCATGCAAATGATATGCATGTCTTCAGGCTTTTGCAATTTTGAAAAGAAAATGTGAAAGTTACATTTTTCCTTGATAAAATATATAGGAAATTGTTAAGTTCTTGGCATGTAGTAGGTATTTTATTTGGTATTTAATAAACAGTGTCTATATCTGCCAAGCACTATTCTTAGTGTGCTAAAATTAACACATTTAGCTTATGTAACAAATGCTTATTGAGATAAGTAATATGACTTACAAAATAATATGGTTGAATGCTGACAAACTATAATTTTGTCAGTAGTTAATTTTGTCAGAAAACACGGAAGTATAAAATCTTCAGAAGTATGAATAAAAATCAGTGTTTTAGAACAGTCTTAGTTTTGAGGATGGGAGTCTTAGTTCTTAGCTTCAGGATTTAATTTATTTCTTACATTATCCTTGTCCTTCACCATACATCTGGTATATAGTAGGAGCTTAGTAAATTATTGAATTCACACTTAATATTTACCTTTTTAAAATATATGACTGAAATGTTAAAATGAAGTCCTGTGCTCTCCCCTTTATATAATGAGAATTTCATACCTGAGTTAGTGGGGTCTGGAAGGTGGGATTGGAAAACATGTATGTCAGAAAAATAAATTTTCTTGACCTCTCACCAAATGATTGTTTTAGCATTACTTAGACTACTTTCACTCACTTAGTTTTATGTGGTCAAAAAATAAGGAGGGAAAAGCCCTTGAAATACACTTAGCCTTGCAAATAAATACTAGACTTTTATCTGCCCACAAAACTTTTTACAAGCCT